GGATTAATCCTTTGTTACAGGTGTACACAACATGTTGGTGTGCTTTGAGCCAACTAGGCCATCCAGCTCTCACCATCATGACTCCACTAATCCCTCAGATCACTACTGACTCCGCCAGCTCTTCAAGATGCTGTGTTGAGCCTATTTGTGGTTATTTTACTGGTTTCTACTAGGGGTGGGATTCGATTAAATAATGCATATAATTAATCAGAGGCTTTGTAATTAATTAATGTTGATTAATTGCACTTCTTCATTCAAGACAATTTACCCCCAAACAAAATAATGTTAATGAGGTACAGATGACCTACCCACACAGTATATTTCTGTAAGCACAAAATACTTTGGTCTCATTATAAAGGCATCCGTTTGGGGAAATTTTGGGATGTTTAAATATTAGTTTATGCTTTACTAATGAATTGTAAACTGACATGGAAAATTGTAAAGATTGTGTGTTGAACTGAACACTAGGTGGCAGCAGAGCACTGCTAATGTATAGAGGTGTAGTGTAGAGTTCAGGGGAAGTTCTGCTGAGTGTTAAGATGAATGCTGCATGAATGTTTGTCCCTCCTGCTCTAATAAACGTTTTTATGGATAAAGTTACGTATTGCTTGCTTTACTAACTGCAAAACATAACAGTAAAAAAGTAGAATTTTTTTCTTTCTTTCCTTCATGAAGAGTGATTCATCATTAACCATTTAATTGTCGTTTTAGTTAATTTTGGAGCACATAAAAAAAGGTTTGTATAGGCTTGTAGGACAGGTGCCGCAGTTTTGTTAGAGGTGCAGCATTTTCTGATTATTAGAGATTAAGTTGTAACGCAAAAATTCTTTGGCCTCGAATTGGGGGTGCTCAGGCTCAAGCGTTAATATTTTTACATGTTTTTTTTTCTAATTAATTAATGGTAATTAACATGTCAAGTCCCCACCCCTAGTTTCACTTCCTCTAACAAAACATTTTAGAGGACCATTACAGCGAAAATGAGCCTCAAACCAAGAACATAAAGCCTATTAGTGCTAAAAAGACAACAAAGATGCTTTCCTGGTTGAGCAATGACTTAAAACTCAGCCCACTCCTAGTGAACACTGTTAAGGTCTGACATCTATTTGCGGCTTTTGTGCACGCTGACGTCCACCTCTCCACCAAAGATTGATTGTCTGGTTTTATGTAGGATGAAGTGAACTGGATGAAAATTCATAAAGCTGCAGTGGAAAATGTGTAGATACTAAATGTAACTTTTTTACCCAGTGAAAAGGAAGAAGGAACATTAATGTAGCTTCTTATGTGCAAATTCATAAAAGGAGTTTCAGCAGTGAGATACAGGACTGCAGGGGGCTGATTCTCCCAGGAACTGATTTTTAATCAACTTTTCAAGCCCAATAGCATTGGTTAACAAAGGCTAAATAAAACATTACCTTCCTGCAAAAAAAAAAAAAACTGCAACATAATCCACATGACACTGATTTAATGTTTGTGCATGTGAGCACATTTTAATCCATATTATAGTGTCACTTCTCTGGGAACAGCTAAACGATTTGGGGCAAAGGCGTCTTTTCGTCCACTGACTAAAAGAGAATCAAATTATTCTTGAAAATGCTTCTTGTCTCGAAATGAAATAAGATAAATGCAAATGCACATCTGCAGAAACTCGCGTCTCATCTCTCACTGGAGATTGGGTTCATCTTCGGTATCAGTGAAGAGAAACTCTCCTGCAGCGATCTGCATGCAGAAACATTCAGTGTTCATCCCAGCGGTTATGGCTCAATGCTTCACCAGTTCAAGAAATCCCAGAGGCTAAGCTCAAACACATAAGAACAACGAAAAGTTAAACATCAGCCAAATGCAGTGTAACATTATCATTTCTGATGCATTTCAGCAATATTCAGGTCACTGCCACTAGTGGAAAAGGTCAGAGGTTAACCAAGCTGAGGGTGAAGAGGTGTGCTTCATCAGCACCACATGGATAGAGGGAAGAAAAAAAAGGAGGACAGAGGGGAGAGAGAAAGTCGTGTAAAGTAGGTCAGGGAGAAAACGTGATTGGCCACAAAACACCACCACTAGCATCAAACCCGTGTCATGTCCAAAGACGCTGTCCTTTCCATATGTTTTCCTCAGACTGAGTCCAAATTTGTCTCCAAATGACGCTGTGTTGGATGCCTTGGTGCTGATAACAGTCACGTTTACTGGACGGGTTGGCAAGCATGCAACTTGCTGGCTCGCTCAGACCGACAAGCAGAGACAGCTTCTTCCCCTCACAGACTTACATGGTGTTAGAGCCACCCCTTGCCCCGCTGCAACGCTTTGCGAGGAGTTGCTAAGCACAGCCAATATTTCACAAACACAGCAAAAAAGGCAGCCTGACATCCTGCTGCCATCCTGGACAGCAGCAGCAAGACCGCTTCATTACTGACTTAAGATCTGCGCTACACTCAGCTGAGCCAAGAAGACCATATGATGATGCTGCAGATCGGTGTGGCGAGGACTGATGATGCATTTCTTTCTTCTTGAGTTTTATATCAGAAATTATTAATCAAAACTTCCAGCAGAAGGAAGAATAAGATTGTGACCTTAGATTGGTCAGCATGACAGGTGTGTGTGTGTGTGCGTATGTGTGTGTTCATTTCCTGACCTGAGGGTTTCCACCAGCCTCTGACTCCGGAGCCTTTCTTGGGGGTCTTGAGGGGATGTGGCTCTTGAGTGGTGCTGAAGGCAGGGCTAAAGCTGATGGTCTGCTGGGAGTCTGGGGGATGGGGAGGGCACTGTGCACGGGTTTGGGTTTGGGCAGTCCAGACTTCATCTTTGAGGCCACCAGGATGGCTGGCATCTTCTCCTCTCACTCCCTCACTACCAGCTTACGCTCGCTCCCTGTCACGCTCAGATGGAAATCCTGCAGACCGTCAGTAAGAATCCCCTCTTACTCGCCCAGGGTGTGGCCAAATCACTGTAGCAAACATCAGAACTGCTTGACGTGTGATGTGTGGTGCGATTTGTCAGTGTCCTGACCTTAGCTGCTCCAGCTGGATCTGAGCCGAAAAGGTAGCAAAGCGTGCCAACATGCAGTGCAGAGGTTTAAAACCCCCAGTTCCCACCTGCTTTACATCACCAACCAGCTTCAGCTTAGGTACAAAACATTCAAACGTCCAAGGTTGGTATAAAATTCCTCTAGACAAAAATGTCCCATAAATTCCAGCAAGCTCATTGAAATCCCAATGCCACACGAAGAGAAATTCCCATATGCCGGGTGGGAGTGGGGGGATACCTTCTGCTTACTCCCAGTTCAGAGTGAGAGTCAGCAATTAACCACGTCTCATAGCAAGCTGAGCCTTTCCTCTCCGATAAAGCCTCAGAAATTAAACCATCAGTTCTGGATGACAGGAGTGAAGACCTTGTTTTATCATGAAAAGCTGCGCAGAAACAGATGGAGATAAAAAAAAGGCAGAAACAACGCAGCGACCGTTCGCTCCAGCGACTGCTCAGCCTGTGACAGCGCAGCCTGAAACGCAGCACTCTCTACCCCGCTGCTGCCTCTCTCCCTCTCTGGTAAGTCGTGTTTAGCAGCAGGTGTGGCTTAGATCAGAATGACATATGTGGAGAAAGGCTCAGCACACACATCCGTGGAGTCGTTTTCCACACAGTCTCTCTTTTAAAACACCACGAAAGATATTTATTCTCATCACAAATTTAAAAATCCTATTTCACAAGATTAAAATTTTGTTCCCATGAGCAATAAGCAACATTATTATTTGGAATTATTTCATTTGCTCAAAGTTTAAGATCCTTTCTTATAAAAACTGATGCAGGCGGAATCATTTTCAAAGCTTGTGAAGTCCAGCAGAGACATTATATTGATGGATTCTCCCTTCTTGTCTTTATTCCATAGTCTTTTAAATATGAATGATGGCCAGTTAGTGGACCGCTGCTGGACTATTCCAAACCCCAGCGGGCTCTAAGAAGCTGCCGAAGTTGTCGACTTAAATCTTACTGCAGCGCCAAACAGAAAAGTGAGGAAATACAGCCTGCAATTCCACTCATCCCTCCACTCTCATGGATTTTAGAAAGTAAAGACAAAACATGTTTGGATCCACCTTTAATAAGAGCAAAAAGCTGAATCCAAAGTCAAAAGTGATTTCACATTGTTGTCTTCGGTGTGAATTTAGTGGAGTGTTGGCAGATACTGGATCAGAGGACAGTCAACATCCAACAGACCTTTTTTCACACGTGCATATTTGTCATGGTGGGATCTGTTAATGATGACACTCCCAGAGGAGACTTTAGATCATCTCAGTGTTGATGTTTTACACAAAAATATCCACGTCTTCATTTCCACTCATTTCAAACAAACTGAAATAAAAAGGATCGGCTGGAGAAGAAATCAACACTTCAGGTTGTTTTGTCTAAAACAGAGATCACCAGCTCGAGTCCCGAGGGCTCCTGCATGCTTTACAAGTTTCCTGCTCCACCTCACCTGAATTAAACCTTCTAATCACCTCATCACCAGGAGATCTGCAAGAGCCTGTTAAGCGCTTGAGACCGGCAGTCGTGTAAAAATTTCTGAAATAGTGTTTGCATCAACCTTCTTCAGATGTGAGTAGCTATCTGTTTTTACTGACAGCTCCACCTGAGTAAAGGAAATATTTGCCACGTTTCAGAATTCCTTTCATGATTGTTTTTGTTTTGCTATGTTTTAAAGGTCTCCTGCACATGGGTAGTGGAGCATCCCCACCTATAAAATGAGCAAAGTCCCTTATCTGATCTGATGAAACGTAAGAGGATGCGAGATTTGTTTTATAATCCACCTGACTCATTCTGTATGACCTGAACTAGGATCCTGCTGCTCAGATTGGACTGATTTCATGTATCAATGTGTCCCGAGTTGAATCATGAGAAAATAAACCAAAATCACATAGAAAATCTTTCAGTATACTGAAATATTCCTGTCTGAATCATCCAACAGTGCAGCATTTGTTTTCACTTTGACCCTCCCATTTGCAGAGCTAAAGCTCTTCCAGTAATTTACTCTGAAATCATTGTTTACTTGAAATAACAAGCTGTTCATCTTACACTCAGCAGATGCTTGGTAGAAACCAAACAAATTAGCCAAAATTACCAGCATCAGATACACGAGAAACTATCCTCAATAAATCAAAATGATCCTGTTAGCATTTTAGTTCATTCTTTAAAAATTACATTTTCATTTACCCTAATATCTGCTGGAAATACACACACACACACACACACACACACACACACACACACACACACACACACACACACACACACACACACACACACACACACACACACACACACCCACACACACACACACCAGATTTTATAGCAGCAATATAAATCCGGTGGAGGACGTGTTTGGTAAATTACTCTTAATCCTGTTACATTAATCCTGAATTATGTAAATACTGGTATCTGATTATAGTTCCGGGCACTTACCAGTGTGCGTATGTGTGTGTGCAGATGTGGGTATAGAAACAAATGTGTTTCCAAGTGTAAATAAATAAAATTTTAAACCTTTACCAGTTTCTACCACCTTTCTGAACAGCTTCAAGAGATTTAAATATAATTTTAATGTATTTTCTGAAAATTGCAGGTTTTTTATTTATTTCTTTATTTTTGTAACTTCATCAATGGAACATGCACCAAGATGTGAGACATTGTTTGTCATAATTACATGATTTTTTTTCTGACACTGACACTGAAAGTCAAAAACAGGATGATGAAAAGCCAGTGAGTCACTGATTCAAAACACTACCACCGTGACAGCACACCCCACTAAAACCCTTTGAAACATATAGGAAAATGCATTAACTCCACCCAGCAGTCTCAGATGTCGCTCTCTGATTTGGAAAATAGGGGAAAAAAAGGAAAATCATACATGGCATAACAAGGGAAACTTCCATTATTTTCCTTGCTCTGTGATGATAAACATATGTGGGACCCACGTGGATCACAGAGCAGCATTTCATGGAGTAGGAGGGGAAAAAAGCAGTTGAATGTGATTTATGCTCCAACCTTTGAAGATACCTGATGAGAGTCCAGTGCAGTCTAATAATAGAGCCTGTTTGGCAGCAAATGGGCGGTATTGACAGTAATAACTAGGACACCCACCCCTGTGCTCAGCTGTATGTTTATACTGTATTTCTTCCCAGAATAATAAACATTCATGTGGGGTAGATGGTGGGTGTTTTCAGTCAGATTCATGTCAACAGAGTCTATAGGAACTTTAAAGGTGGTGTACTCACATATGGATATCAGAGAGGGCAGCTCTACAGATTTACATTGTAGCCAGCTGTTACTAGCTGTGCAACACTCGAGAGTTGCCGAAAGCCGTGTTTTGATAAAAATTTTAAAAAGGGCAATACAATGTACCATTAATCCATGATTAAAACCAACACATTCTCACACCCAAACCGTTGAAAAATGACGCGGGGTGACAAAGCCTTTGTTTCCGACACGTTGGGACTCACAAAGAGCTGTGCCAGAGCGTTAGTTTCCAACGTCGGCGGTAAAACGCATATTTCACCAACATTTGACCTCTTGCTATTTAATCTGCCCCTCAACTCAATCATAACCTTAACTCAGTTTCTCATTCTAAACTTCCCGTTAACCATGTTGGAGAGGGACGTTACAACTGGGAACAAAGTTTTGCATGTGCAAGAGGGTTAAAGTTAGGATGGGGGTGAGGGGAGGTTAAATAGTAAAAAAGTAAAGGCCACAATTCGGTGAAATCTCCATTTTAACACGCCAGTTGGAAAATGACGCTCTGCTGGAAACAAACGCTTGGTCACCCTGTGTCATTTTTCAACGCTTTGGGTGTGAGAATGTGTTGTTAAAACAATATGTATTAATTTTAGATGACAATTGGTTTGGTTGTCGGTGGCAGAGGAGTTAAGTGACCATCCCATAACAGAGGGTCGTAGGTTCAAGCCTCATCTTTTGCAATCATGTCCTTGGGCAAGACACTTAGCCCTACTTCGCTATGGAAACCCTTTCTCCCTATCCCAGCCTGGGCGGGACTGTGACCGGTGAAGGTCGTGGAACCGTATCTAGGAGTCAATGTGCCCTCTAACCCATTATCTCCCTCCCCTGTCCAAACGGAGGTGATGAGCTCCATGCTGCTGCAGGCACTGAAGTGAGGAGAGTCCCAACCCTACCTCCCCACCTAGTGGACACTTATGTTGTGTAATGTCTGAAGTCTGTGAGCATTTCTATCCTCTCTGTTGAGGGTAACTCTGAAGTGCCTTTTTTCCCCTTCCCATGACTCTATCCTCATATAAACCCTCTTGATCTATAATTCTTGTCACATGTCTATGTATGTATGTCTGATCTCAGAATTGTGTGTACTGAAACTCTAATTTCCCTCTAGGATTAATAAAGTATTTTTGAATTTGAATTTGAATTCCCTGCTGGTGGTGTTCGGAGGGACCTGTGGCACCAGTGCTTGGCAACCACGCCTCTGTCAGTGTGCCCCAGGCAGCTGTGGCTACATTGTAACTTGTCACCACCAGTGAGTGTGTGTGTGCATGGGTGGATGACTGATTGTGTGTTAAAGTGTCTTGGTGGGTTTAGAACCCCTAGAAGACGCTTAATCAAGTACAGGCCATTCACCATTTACCATTAAATGACTAGATTGCTCTTGGTCACCATGGTAATATTCTTATTTCTGAGCTATTAAATCAAACTTAAACAGCAAAAATATCGCTCTTCAATGGATTTCAGAAAATTGTATAAATACAAACACTGAGATTTGCTCAGTTGGGCCTCTTCACACTGGATTATGACCCCTTAGGTTGTATTTCAAACTCTGCAAATTCAGAACCAAACTTCTCAGCTCTGAGTCAAGGTGGCATGGAAATATCTTATTAGTGCAGTACCAGCATGTACAAAATTGATATTAAAAATATATATATTGGTATAAATCATAAGATGTTTTTCCCCAAGTGACATGACTTGATCTGATGTACAATAGCCCAATGGGTAAAACATGCAAAAGTTTGTGTGTGTGAGAAAAATGGGAGATGTTGAAACCAGAATTGCCCTTGTATTCAAAAATAATATCCTCATGTGCTTTTCTAATAATGTAGTCAAATAAGTTTTTTACCTGCTTTTTATCACATTCCTGAAATGCTCTACTCTTCCCTCATTACACTCTATGCTTCAGCAGCATGTTCCCATGGCGATCCTACCACAGATATCTATATATCTATGACTGCAGCCTCCCCTGGGCCATGTGAAGGCACAACGCTCACACACCATGACGAGATGCAGGTATAAGTTCACAGCGTGCCGCAGCATGATGACGATAGCTTAGGCCTGAGGCAACATAGTGATTCCAGCTTCAGATCTTCTACGATTAGGCCAAGCTGTTTAATTGGCACGGGCATTTTTGTCACTTAAGTATTTCCCTGTGTTGATTTAGATATTTGTTTCATTTTCTGCATTTTTATCGGCATGAACAGAATTTTTAAACCAAACCAATTCAATATGATAAACAGCAAAGGAAAATAGTTTTTCATGTTTTTTTCTGATGAGCACAATGTTCTTCATGATATGAGTCCACAGACTCTTCACTTCATCAGGTCAACACAGAGCTTTAAAATATATTCAAGTTCAGTGCTAGCAGTCAGCAACAAACCATGCAACAATTCTAAATAATTCAATATTCAGGCATCAGCGAATGACTTGAATTGTTTCAACACACACACACACACACACACACACACACACACACACACACACACACACACACACACACACACACACACACACACACACACACACACTCATTTCTTTTCTGATTGTTTTTCATCAGCACGGTCAGTGGAGCAGAATGACTGTGCTCTCGTCGACCATGCAGCTCTGCCCTAACTGGAGCAACGGCCTGACATTTCCACTGTGACGGCAACTTGACCTACACACCATTTCCCTGGCTCATATCCACGTGCACATCAACATGCGCAAAAAACTATTCATGATAATGAACAGTGGCAGTTCTGTAAGGCTTGATCACAGGGAAAAAGAAGCTGAGGCCATAAAGGCCGGCGGGACTCTGGCATGGCTGCAACAACACTGGGTCACACAGCATACAGTCAAAAGGGCAAATGCACAAACAGCGACACACATTCTGCTCTCTGTACATATTTAACACAAATTAGTCTCATGGGTCTGCGCTCAGCCGTACAGGCCAAGGAGAAAGTTCTGTTAGCCTGTGAAACAGGACACCAGGCTGAGATAAAACACTAAAGAGAGTCAAATGTCTGGGAAGATGCTCGTGTGAGTCTGAATTCTGCTCTGTGGGTTTGTGAACTCGTGTCACTCCAGCTGTGCCACATGTGTGCATGTGGACATGCTCGTGAGATCTAACTGGGTCTTTGGGGCACTTTGAAGAAGGAATCCTCTCATCATCTTGTCAGATGTTACTGACACAGAACATCATTTCAGTGTGTTCAGGTGGAGCGGAGCATCATACAAACTCAACAACACACACCCTATGGAAGAAATACAGTCTCACCAGAACATGGCTCTTTTCAGACATTGAATTTTTATTCTGTGAACACTATGAGTGTTTGTGATTAGGTTACAAAGCTATTTTGACCTGGAGGTAAATGCTTTTGTATCAACATAAGTAAGCTTATTTTAATATTGACAATGTTATGAAATGTCTAAAAGTGCTACTGGGTGACAGTAATGTTTGGAGGGCATTTCACTGATGGCTATTGAATCTCAGCTTGTCAGGAATCTGGACTTTGATGACATTGTAAATGAATTTACTAATAGAAAGGCCAGAAAGCAGTTTTTCTGAAGGAAAGAGAGGAGACCAACAAGAGGAGACAAAAAGAGGAGTAAGGAGACAAGAGTCAAGAGGAGTAAGGAGTCAAGAGGAGGAAGGAGACAGGAGACAAGAGCAGGAAGGAGACAGGAGACAAGAGCAGGAAGGAGACAGGAGACAAGATGAGGAAGGGAACAGGAGTCAAGAGGAGGAAGGAGACAGGAGACAAAAGGAGGAAGGAGACTGGAGACAAGAGGAGGAAGGAGACTGGAGACAAGAGGAGGAAGGAGACAGGAGACAAGAGGAGGAAGGAAACAGGAGACAAGAGGAGGAATGAGACAGGAGGAGGAAGGAAACAGGAGTCAAGAGGAGGAAGGGGACAGGAGACAAAGGGAGGAATGAGACAGGAGACAAGAGGAG